TGTATATCAAAAATAGTAGAGGCCCCAAGACAGAGCCTTGAGGAACTCCACGATTTATCTTTGCAGGTTTAGAAGTCTGACCGTTAACGACTGTAATGATCGATCTGTCAGATAAATAACTGCGAAATCACTGTAACAAGGCACCTCGAATTTCTTTTTTTTCCAACTTGTACAGCAAAGCAGAATGCCAAACTTTATCGAAAGCCTTGCTGAAGTCTAAGTAAACAGCAATACAATCATCACCATTTTCAAGATCCCGATAAATATCGGAATGGCTATTGACACCCTCGGGGTGGCAGCAAGGAGCTATTGACACTCCATTGAGCTGGCACTAACCAAAATGCTGTTGACACCCCAAAATGCACTTACATACTGCATAAATGTGTTACTCAAAAAAGTCGAGGTATCTCTATGTTACATAGCAAGGGCACTAATAAAACTAAAGAATGGACGTTTTACGCGGCTTATTAGATTAATAGTTAATAATTCAGTGAACATGTGTAGTGATAAATGTAGTTTGATTTACGGATGACTCAGTTGAACTTTATTCCATACACTATGTGAGGTTTTTTTAAGAAAATATGTATTATGATGCATCTGTTCCATCAACAACGTTAATTTTTCAAGAATATGAGCGTTCAGTTCGCGAAAAAGAGGAGTTATCAAATGTTTTAACAGATTCGAAACATATAATTGTTGTTTCACTTGCTAAAAATGAGATTTCTTTATTCTCGAAGTATTTATTTGATGAATTTATTCAAAAGAGTTCTGAAGCGGCTAATGTGATAAACTGGTGTTCGTCATGTGCAAAATTATATGCAATACAGACCGATGGTAAGGTATACTATTGCCGGTTCTAGCGCTTATTCTTTATTTAATTAATACGTTTTCATGTTTGCTACTACTTCCGTAGGAAATGGAAATTGTCTTGTGGACGCATGTTCAATTGCTTTAACTGGAATTAGTGATGCACAATTAACACTGCGCAAAACCCTATCACAGTATTTTAAAACAAACGAATTTGCATTACGTGATCGTTGGAAATATAGCCGTAATATTTATGATAGTAAATTTGATATTGAAACAGACGATCATTTACTTTTAGCTGTGAGTTTTAGTGAAGTGCCAAATTTCTGTTCTTTTTATAGAAGTATTTTATTTTTGTGAATTAACACTAACTTTACAAAATCGTTGCTCCGTATTCTTTTTTCGCTCAGACCATGTTGCCTTCAGAAATTAATAAATTTTTGTTTATTTTATGTTGTTTAGGAATGGACACAAATTGTTTTGACGATAAGTGAACATCGATCAGCTCATTTAGAATCTTGCCATATTTTTGGTTTAAGGAATATGTTAGAAAGACCAATAATTGTTATCGGAGATGAATACATTGATATGCTTAGCCATAAAGAAGCACAACTGAATGATTTAGTCGGCATATATTTCCCATTATTGTCCTCTAATTGTCATCGTTATCCACTAATATTAGCTTACAAAGCTAATCATTTCTCACTTTTACTCCCCGTACAATGTCATATTAACTCGATCGCATCTCTACAATTTCCTTTATGTTTTTGGTCAAGTTTTGAATCAGACAAAACTTTGAAAGAGTTACCAATTCATTATTTACATAATATCGAGGAGAAAAATGTAAATAATTTGTTTAAAAAGTATTTAAATATTACAAATTTCCAAATCGATAATAAAGCCGTAAAAAGTTGTGAATTGAATAGTGCAAGTGATTCAGAGAATATTAATCTTGTTAATAAATATATTTGTTATTTACGTGAAGAACTTACAATGAAAGATGCTAATTGGAAGTCTTTGCAGTGTGCTACCAGAAGGTAAAATGGGCTGATGCTCTCTGAATATACATTGTTTTCTTAATAATTTATATTTTAAGTAGGCGATAAAGTAGGTAGCATTACGCTGAAATTTTGTTTTTGTCTAAGTCAATGGTTGATTTTTTTGAAAGCTTTTTGTGGCGTACCAGTACACACCAAAGCCCGATTCGATTCGATTGGGGCCAGTTCAATGAAAATTAAAGTTTGCTTCTCTTTTGTTTTCAAACGTTTGTTTAAAATATACTGCCTCGAGTTGGAACACTTGGGCAGAATATATCATTTATGTGACTAGAACTTTGAAACATGAAGTAAAACAAAACAAAGAAAGAGAAGAATATAAACAAGAAATGTCTTGTTCGCATGATTAGTCGTTCCATTTATTATTTTCGATCATACGTAAAAATAACACGTTGCTCTCAAAAATTCTATCTCTGAAAATAAATATTTGGTTAGATATCTTAATAACTCGTAAAAGATATTATATGTCTCTCTCTCTCCAACGGCATTATATGTTTCTGAGCGTTATAACAGAAAAAAAGTACAAAATTACATTACATGGTGCTTTTGTTACTTTATACCATGTCATTGTAGGTTAGCTTGGCCAAAGCGTTTTAAATGATTCATGTCTCAAAAATCAAAGTCAGTTTGGTTCGGCAAGCAGCCGAATTGAACCGAACCGAATGTCAAATCATTCGATTCGTTTCGGGCTCTGGTACACACAGTATGAATGCGTTACTTTATCTTCCATTTTATGCATTATGCAACATTATTTGGCTTTGAATTGAAAAGCACATGTTCGTTTAAAGAATACTGGTAATCAACTAAAAATCACGGTTTTATATTTGCAACATAGTCATGAGATGTCAATTGACAATTTAAAATTTTATCCAGCTAATCGACGTTTCAATAATGAAGATATTGAACAAATCAAACATTATGATAAACACAAAGTACCTCGAAACATTATTCGAAACATATTGACTGATACGCATCAGGATAAATTTTACACAGTGAAGGATATTGGCAATATTTTGAATAAAGAAACGTCAAATAATACAATCGCACAAGAACTAGCTGTTCAAACATGTTTAACTGAGATGAAAGAAGCTGATCCAACAGCAACAATCGAAGTTATCGTACAAGGAAATTATGAATTAAATATGGTATTCACCGCGTCTACAAAAATGAAAAATAATTTTCAAAAATTTGGAAAAGTCATTTTCTTTGATGTTACGTACAAGATAAATCTTGAAAATTATTCATTGTACGTTTTTTTGGTACAAGACAATCTAGGTACCGGTTAGTAAATTAACATCACTTAGGCATGTGCTTTAAGATAAAACGAGAAATAATGCCTACCTACCGAAATAATGTCTGTCAGAAAAGAAATGACACACTTTTCAAGTTGATTTGGAAGCTCCAATTTACTATTACATTTGTTCTTCGAACATGACTTATTTCTCTCTCTTGCAGATCGATCGATCTATTCGATTATTCCTTCATCATACGTTTCACAAATTTTATTTGTCTTATTATTTTCGCTCTAGGTCAACCAGCAGCTCTAGCGCTGCTAGCTAGTGAAAGCCAAGACAATATCCGTAGTTTATTAGAATTGTTTAAAGCTACATATCAAGAATCAAATAAAATCGAAACGTTTTTTGTCGACAAAGATTTTAATGAGTCAGCAATGATTGAACAGGTATTTCCAAATTCAAGAATCTTACTCTGTTATTTTCATGTGATAAAAAAGTGGAAAGAAACCATTGCAAGATTACCAATTGAAATTAAAAAAAAGCATGAAATATTAGCATGGGCCAAACGTGTCATGTACAGTGAAAACGAAGAAAAATACCAAAATAGTTTATGTCAACTCAAATTAGCATCAAATAATACTGACTTTTACAAATATTTTGTCCATAATTGGATCTCATGTTTAGATAAGTACGTAAAGAGATTTACTATAAAAACGCTTTTTCTTACAAGTCCTCTGAATTTCCAACGGTATGATCGTCTGTCTGCAACTTGTAAATTTCTATTTACTTTTTCTTTTAATCCGAGACTTCTGTGTTGCAGGTGGGTTTTTTACGAACGGAAAAATCAGTTAACATATATGAATAACACGAATAATCGCATCGAATCGTTTTATCGAGTTGTAAAAAGTAAATTTCATCAACGAAATAAAATACCTCATATTGCGGAAGCTCTTTTGATATTAATGTCACTACTGAATTTCAAATCAGACATACAACAATATCAAAGTGTTCGTCAACAAATGACCGTGTTTAAAATAACAAATTCCATATACTCAGCATTTATGACAAAATGCGGAGAGTTATTAGCAGATTTTGCATGTAAGTTTATTTATGAGCAGTTAATGTTGATGGATAAAGCTCACTTAACAATTATTAAAAATGAATTTCATGAGAATGATTTAGATATAATCACGATTAAAAATGTAGCAAAAAGTAATCAGAATGATTTAGATATAATCACGATTAAAAATGTAGCAAAAAGTAAAAAGTACGAAATTCAACCCGCTACTCAAATTTGTACATGTTATTATAATTGTACAATGACACTACCCTGCCTACATATATTATTTTATTTAAAACATACAAATGCACTAGCATTAAATGATGCCGTAATTCCAGCACGTTGGATTAGACAAACTTTAAATCAACAAACATCTGAAAATATTTTGATTAGTGAGATTAATAAGGAGTCATTTGATACAATTGATGTGAACTATTGTGACGATGAAAATGAGGAAAAAAATGAAATTTTAACAGTTGCTGATAAGAATCAGGCCGTATGACAATTATTTAGTTCGATGTCAGGATATTTAACACAATTGGGAACAACGGAATTTTATGAACGTACTGCTGAATTGAGAACATTACACTTATCGTGGATAAAAGGAAAAAAGTAAGTTTTGAGTAAAATTTTGAATCATACGTTATGTTAGTTCTCATTCAATTATACCGATCCAATCCCGATTCGTCGACAGGTTCATTGATCTGCTCGCTTTGTCAAATTTGTTGTACATTTTCTTAATAAACATGACTATGATTAAAAAAACAACAACAAGAAAAAGGTTAATTCATTTTCCTGTTTCGTCGACATATTATAGCGACGGCGCCTCACAAACATCTTTTATCTTTGTTCCAAAATGGTGGTCAACGAGCCAGGAAAAAAGTAATGAGTCGACGAATCGGAACCATGCCCATTATATCTACTGCTCTATAGAATTGTGTTTGTGCGTGTTCAGGATAACGGCCGAAACTGGTGCTCAAACTCAGACGTCTGAAATAGATAATGGTGCAGAAAGACGCCACGATGGTTCATGTTCAGATCCCGAGCCACAAGTTCCATTGTTTAAAATACATCGTGTTAATCATCCCAGAGGTCGACCAAAAAAACCTGCCAGGCATACTCACGAGGGAACCCCACGAAGTGATTAAACGCTTTTTGCTCGGATTCTAGTGGGTTATATCGACCATGCTGATTACGAATACGACCATGCGGCTTCCGCATAGCCCTTCGAAGACCTGGTTTTCTAGAAAACGAGTTTTTCAGAAACCCCAAAAAATAAC